CGGCCTCCCAAAGTGCTGGGATTACAGGCACGAGCCACTGCACCCAGCCCCTAAAATGAATATTTTCAATTCTTTATCTGGGATTTGGGAAATTTCTTTTTGATTAAGATCTATTGCTGGTGAATTCTTTTGTCTCTTGGAAGTGTATTTCCTTGCTTGTTCATGTTTATTCTGTCCTTACATTGCTATCTGCACATCTGGTATAACAGTCTCTTCTTCCTAATTTTAAATTTACTTTCATAAGGGAGGACATTTTCCTGAAGATGTTTCTATGGTTTCAGTTAGATAGGGTACTTTGGCTTTGATTCTGCATGCATGTAGTCATGTAGGCTCTATATGATTTCTTTGTCTGTAACCACAATGAGTGGTACCTGTGATTTCCTCAGTGGGTTACAGTGTGGTTAACAAGAGAGGCTGTGATGAAGTTGTGCTGGGGACTGAGACGCCAGGTAGGTCAGTCTTCAGGCCCCAGTGGTGGCAGCAGTTAGCTGAGCATGTCTATCTTTGTGCTTCAGAGTAGTATAAGCTGGTGCCTGTTTTGGCAGTTCCTGGTGGGCCAATTCTTGGGCCTCCAGGTGGCTTGCTTGGATACCAGTAGTGGCAGCAGTGAACCAGGCAGGTGGGTGGGTTCTCAGGCCCCTAGGCAGCTGGTGTGGCATGGGTGATGGCAGTAGCAGTGGCAGGATGATTTTTTGGGTCCTGAGTGGTGTGCATTGATGTTGGCAGTGGTTGTGATGGGTTGGGCAGGCCAGTCTCTAGGACTCAGGTGGTGCTTGCGTATAGGAACCAGTTGAGATGGTAGTGGCCAGGAGTTTAGGCCCAATCTGAGTTCCCTGGGAGGAGTGTACTCAAGGTGGCGGATGGGTTGGGCAAGCCCAAGGACCTGAGGCTATGTGTTCTGTTATGGAAGAGGAGCCAAAGCCAGGCTGGGTGGGCTTGCGCTCAGTCCCCCGAAATATGACAGCAGGCACCAGCCATCATGAGCAGTAGCGGGCCCCAGGTGGAGTGCTCAGCTGAGAGGTGGCAGCAGCTGTGCTGAGGCCCTGTCACTGGAGGGAGGGGTTGTCTTTGGTGGCCACAGCCTGGGCTGGTGGATGGGGAACACACATCCCTCTCATGCTCCAGTCCTGCCAGGGTTTGCCCTCTAACCTCGGCAGTAGTCCATGCCTAGCTTGCCCCCTTGGCTCTGGCTACAGGAGCACCCCTGAAAGCTGACAACTTAGTCCCAGTGTCAGTCTGTGCCTCGCTTACATCCCAGTCTCCTGGCAGTGCTCACTTCCCAGCACCAGCAGCTGCAGCTGCAGCCTGTGCCTCACTTGCTTCTTAGCCTAAACTGTGGAAATGCTCTCAGCTCACTCCTCAGTCCCAATAGCAACAGCCCAAGTTTCCTTAATGCCTCAGTCCAGACGCTGCTGGGCCCCAGGACAGTGTGCAGTCTGCCAAAAGCTAGGTTTGAAAATGGCACCTTGCTATAGCAGTTTGGGTCTCAGAAAGAAACCCAGCACGACCTTCCTCCCTAGAGGAGTTCCATCCCACAGTCTCTAGGAGACTGTCTATGTTAGTTTCAGGGATGGAAGGGTCGAGAAGTTCTCTGTGGCCAGAATTACACATTTCCACAGTGGGCAGGCATGTGGGCTGCCAGAAGTCTCTCACTTACCCTTTCCACATGTTGGGAAGTCACTCCTGGCTCCCAGCCGATCCCGGCCAGGCAGACTGCCTTTTTCCCTTCTCCTTCCCCACTTACAGTGTTTCCTGTCACTTCTCTGTTGAATTCCAGCGTTCTGTCTTGGATAACGTATTTGAAGTGTGACTGCCTGTACACTATTTTGGTTCTTCTAAGTAGGGGAGGCGGGCATGCAATGCTTCTAGTCAGCCATCTTGACACCCCTCCCCTGCCTTATTATTTTACAGTAGCTTTTGGTTGCTTTCTTCTCTGCTTCCTGTCACATCCCCCAACCCCAGATAACGATATTAACAACTAAGCATTCATATGATCACATACAAACACCTATACCTGTGAGAAGACTTACACTGCTTTACAAAAATCAGATTATATCATACATACTGCTTTGCACCTTGCTTTCCTCTCTTAACAATATATTCTAGAAAGGTGTTCAAAGTCAACCTATATCTTTCTCATTCATCCTATCTTCTATTTTTAAAATATTTTCTGAAGAAATATTTTTAGAGGTGAATATAAATAATACAAAGGGCCTTTGGGCTCCGAACCTTTTCCTTCACCCTTCCAATAGGCTGACTGAGTCAACACTTCGCTCTGGGAAGCTGTGGAAAATCAGGCTGGTGGTTGGGAGGCTGTTCTAACATCAAGAATGATGTCTCTCACCAGTTAAATGACAACTGACTTGGGTTCATTTGTATTCAGCAAGTCTGTAGACTAAATCACTGTAAAAAATGGCTCTAGCATTTTAATTTCACTCTTTTAAAATATATATTTAATGGCTATAACATGATAGCTGTGAAATAAACCCTTCTGTTAGATATCGTAACCGTGAAATATAGCTGTTTAACTAGTTGGCGATGAAATTTTTGCTGCGTTCAATCACTCAATGACTGAAATATTAAATAGGAAGGAGCAAGTGTGTGGAAAAAGTCTTTCCTACCTGGCAATAGCCAGATTACAACCAGCAAGGTCAACTGCAAAATGACTGTCATCTCTAATGTGGCAATTACTGTCCTCCCAAATGGGCTGCTGCTGACTCAAAGCCAACAGTTTCTTTAATTTTTCCTTCCTCGTCTACAAGTTACTTTGGGAAACTTCATGATCAGCACTATTCTTTTTATGCTCTTAGGTGCTGACAGCAGAAAGGATTTTTGCCAAATGCTCAAGCCAAGCTTTGGGGAGCAGTGCCCTTCTCCCTAAAACCCAGGGACTGGGCTACGTTTCTGGGCTCTTGACAGAAGGATGAAATAAAATTTCTACCTGTGAAATGTTGATTCTCACTTTCCCCCTTACTTCAGAACTCAAGTTCTTCATTCAGAGCAGCCATGTGCTTGGTTAAAAAAAAAAAACCTCCTCAGACTCCCTTGCAGCTAAATTGGCCATGTGACACAGTGAGATGGAAGCAGAGGTCTAGGGAGCAGGCTCTGGGGAAGGCAGGAAAGTATTGTTTTCCTGACAAAAAGGGGCAGACTTAGGTGACAGCTGCCTTCCATCTTTTTGTCATTTGACCTTTCTCTTATTTTCCTGTCTGAGTTGTGGACTCACTGTCTGGAGCTGGAGTCACCCCACACTAAGGATGGCAAAACAGAACACTGAAAAGGCAGCTGCTGGTGACTCCCTTGAGGAGCTGTTCCAGCCTGGGATGGCCAACTGCTAGGTTTCATTGTTACTTAAATATAAATCCCTATTTGGTTAAGACACTATAGTCACTTTATTCAGCCTTTTATAAAATTCAGTCTGATGATTCTAACTGATACATAGGTAATAGCTAGAGGGAAAGCTACTTAGTCTGAGCGACTTACATTTTTCTCTTCATGGGAATTTAGCTTTATGGAGTTGACATTAGTTCCCATTTTACTTTGGCTGCCAGGGAACTCAGAGTCAAATGTGGTGCCCAAATATCTACCATATAATCCTAGAAATATACACAATATTATGTCTATGTTATATGTGTTCTCAGACTCAGCCTCTTCTCCTTCTAAAGTACTTATAAAACTGGTTATAACTTTCTATTTGATTTATATTGTATTATTTTATTGTGTACATTTTCCATGCTTTAAATTTTTGTGGAATGAAACAAGGTATACATTTGTGTGTATACACATATATGTACACATATATACAAAGTGTATATATGTTAAGTGGTTTCTATGTGCTCACTCATTGTACTGAGCACTTGTTAACGAATCATTAATCCCCCACCATGGTCTTCTATCCTTGGTACATTATGCTCCCATTTTACAGACAAAGAAACTGAGACTTAGAAAGACTAAGCTGCTTAGCCAAGGTTATATCCAAGTGGGTATATCAGGTTTTTAAAGCCTTCAGACCCAAATTTGCTGAAGTGTTTTCTGTTATTCTTTGAAACAAATTAAAAATTTAACAATTTTTTACCTATTGCTACCCTAAAAGAAGTTGGCATCAGGTTTTTCTCTGATTATGTCTCTCATTGCAAGTCTACATCTGTGATTTCCCCTTAACATTCTTTTTGTCAATAAATTGTAGAAATTAGAAATGGGAAAGGCTTGTCAGCCATGAAATATACATGTTTAAGAGCAAAGGAGAGAAGTGCTTGGCCGACAAGGCTAAGACCTCACACTTAGTGAAGCTAAGACCTCACACTAGTGACCCTAATGTTTCTTGAAGATAGTAGAAGAGTGACAAATCCCACAGGCTCTGTAAGTGACATCAGAAGAGCAAGGGCTGGGGGAGAGCGTGAAGCTGGGAAGGGAAAGTTTTCAAGAGATGAAGATGAGTAAATGATGCATTCCCGGACTCTTCTCATTTCATAGGCTGGAGGGGCTAAAGGAATCGGATTGGGAGCCAACAAGAATTTGTGTATAGAGGTTCTAGTACAATATAATTACTTCAACAAATATTTATTGAATGCCTCCTATGCTCCAGATCCTGTTCTAGGCACTGGGGATACATCAGTGACTAAAATAGACAAAAATCCCACCTCCATGAAGCTTATATTCTAGCAAGGGGAGAAAAATAACATAGATAAGAGAATACGTTCTGTAGTACGTTAGAAAATAGATGTTAAGGAAGAAAGAAAAAGTAGAGTGGGAATTACTGCTTAGTAGACATTCACAAGGTTCCAGCGTGCTCAGCAGTTTACATGCATTATTTCATTCAATCTTCGCAAGAATGTTAGGGGATTCCCATTTCACAGATGAAGAAACTGAGGTTGAGTAAAGTGAAGTGATTTGTCAAAGGTCATGCTTCAGAAATAGCAGAAGCAGGATCTGAACTCCTCAGACCGTTGACCACACCCATGTGGCATGAGAAAGGCATCAGGGGCCACCATCTTCCTTACCCATCTCCCATCCTTGTCTAAAGGTGGGTTGAAGCGTCGTCCTTTAGTCATTCTCTTCAGGAAGCTGAATGTGGCTGAGGTTGGCTGCCTCACCTCTCTATACGCTCTACACGTCTGGGAAGCTGCTTCATAAACTTCATAAGTTCTACACGTCTGGGAAGCTGCTTCATAAACTTCATAAGTTCTACACGTCTGGGAAGTTGCTCCTCCTCCTCATTCCTGATCTTTACTTCTCAGCCTCTACCAGGAGGGGAAGGTGCGGGTGCCCATTGTTGCCATGGAATGGGAACTCACCCATCACAATGGGCGAAGGAGTCTTCTAAGCCCTCTGAGGATTCCTGCCACCGGTTTCTTGCAGCTGTGACTCCCCAGGGTAAGAGGCAAAGAGCCACCAGGTCCCAGCTGAGGAAGCCCTGTGGTCAGCTCAGACAGGCGAGGACAAGATGATTTGGGGGTAATGGCAAACATTTTGTACCCTCTCAATTTTTGAATGAATAATGTTTGAGTTGGATGTCCCCACGGCAACTGTATGCTCCAACCTGTTAGTTTTCAGAGAAGTAAGTTGAGTCCCAGGCTGGGGGTGGCCTTGTCTGCATCAGTGGCACTGCTGCACCCAGAACCCATGCTGCCTACCATCTCCTTCTGTGGCAGCCTCTGTGTCTCAGCTCAGACCCAACCTCAGGACTCACTCACAGCCACTCTTACCTGCCTGGCACAGCATTGAGGCCACAAGGAAGTAACACTCATGAATAGTTATTATATGTCAAGTGCTGTGTTAAACTAAACATTCACCTGTTTTTATTTTTTCTCCATGACAACATTCAACATTTACAAATAGGAAACAAGGGTCATAGAGCAATGGATGGGACGCCACAAGTCCCAGCAAGGTCATGGGCCAAGTCCAGAGCTCAAGAGACTTGCCAAGGGCCACCTGGCCTCCCCCGGGCTGCAAAGGCTGCTCCTGAGATCTGGCATTTCTCTCAGGGCCTGGACACACTTCCTGCCTCCCTTCTACTCAGTAAGGTGTTTTCTGCTTTTCTTTCTTTTTCTTTTTTTAAATGTTCTGTCTTGCCAATTCTCTTGGCTATTCCATGTGAATACAAGAGTAAACATGTACAGGACAACCTGTCCAGCTGCTCTCTCGCTCAGAAATTGTGTCCTCCATCCCTTCCTCCCCCAGTTACCTCCCTGGGTTTTCCAACGAGAGTTGCCATAGTAGTGATACAGGACCTTATCCACTGCCAGCACTGAAGGACCAGAGGTGGCCCCTAGATGTGACGCCAGAGATGCATAGGTCCTCTTGCACTGTGACGCCAAAAGCCACATGGTAAGGAGAGGAGGAAAAGATGGTGGGCCGCCTCTCTTGGTGTTGCAAAGCTGCTGCACCAGGCGATCTGTCACGTGCGTAGTAAACCCTTCTGGGATTTCTGCTACCTGTTGACAAGCCCGGTGCAACAGACACAGTGTATTTCACCTTTACCAGGCATTGCCCACTGCTCTCCAAAGCCCAGGTGTAAAGAAATACTCCCAGCAGCAGCAGTACAAGGGAGTCCTGTCATCTCACAGCCTTGCCAAGACACACTATATTGATTACGATCAAATTTGACTGGGACAGGAAACCCGAACTAACAGGGGCTTAAACACGATAGACATTTATTCTCTCTGCGTAAAAGAAGTCCAGAGGGAAGTAGTCCAGGCTCGCTATGGTGGCTCTGCTGTTCAGGATTCTCAGAGATGAGGCTCCCTCCCACCTACCACCGCTCACCAGCCCTAGGGGACAGCTGTCATCTTGTGGCCCCAGATGGCATCTGCATTCCAGGTAGCAGAATGCAGGAAGAGAAGTAGAGGGGAAAGGGCATGTCCCCATGGATCATATTGGGCCAACCCCAATTGACTCAGCTGCTTCCTCCTAAGGAGGGTTCCTGGCAGCTGCCATACGACACTTCCTCTTGTGGGCCAGGACTTCAACCACATGGTCAGGCCTCACTGTAAAGGGGGTTGCATAGTAGGCTTTGTCCTGGTGGGATGATTGCCCAGCCTAAAGTTTAATCACCATGGAAGAGACAGAGAAGCAAAATCAAAGTACAGCCCGAAGGCACTGCCACCCCAGTGGGTGTTCTCTTGTCTTTAATTTGAACATTTAATTCCCCAAATTCTAACAAGAATAAGGCTAACTTCATTCCAATTAGCCTGGCCGGGGCAGGGGACGGGTGCCGAAGAGGATGCATAGTGCTGTCTACTTTCCGGCGCTGTGCTCACATAGCACCTTACAAATGCTCTGCAAACTCTAATGTGCTTTGCAAAACTAAGGAACAACACATGAAAGGCGCTTCAATGTTTACTAAGTACTTTTATATTCATTGTTTTATACAACTTTCACAACAACCCTAAGACATGTGCTGGCTATCTTTCTTTTGTGTGTACCCCTCTCCCATTCATTCTCCATCCATTCCTTGTTCTGCAGCCTGGAGTCTAACCTGTAAAGGCTGTATCCCCTATTCCCCTATGCTTTGGTTCTTTTGCTTTTTAATTTATTATTATTATTTTTTGAGACAGAGTTTCACTCTTGTTGCCCAGGCTGGAGTGCAGTGACACGGTCTCAGCTCACTGCAACCTCTGCCTCCTGGGTTCAAGCGATTCTCCTGCCTCAGTCTCCCAGGGGGCTGGGATTACAGGTGCCAACCAACCACACCTGGCTAATTTTTGTATTTTTAGTAGAGACAGGGTTTCACTATGTTGGCCAGGCTGGTCTCGAACTCCTGACCTCAGCTGATCTGCCCCCACCTCGGTCTCCCAAAGTGCTGGGATTACAGGCGTGAGCCACCGCATCCAGCCCATGCTTTGGCTCTGGTTGGATTCATCCCATAGGAAATAGCAGTGGGAATCAGAAGGGCAGGAGGAGATAGGCAGTGGTGTGCTCATAAATGGTTCACAACCAGCTCTCCAGAGGAAAAGCAGCCTGATTTGTAGTGGCATCGGCCAGTTTCCGTGCATAAATACTTCCACCATGGTGGATTTCAGGCTACTGACATCACTGAACATGGAGTTGGGAAGAGATGTATATAACACATTCTGATACATCACAGGTTCAAAGTATTGGCCCCCCAGGCTCTATCCCTACCAGGCCAGAATTTGGAAGGAACCGTGTTTGTCTGCTTATGTCCATGGCTCCTGCCGGGCAGCCTTTTCCCCACAGCCACAGTTCTCCCTGTTCACAGTGCCCTCTCCCTGACACTTTGGCCCAGGGATAGACAGGCTTCCTGCTCTTGCTGGTCCCGGAAGCTGCACCATTTCTTGTCAGTTCCTGTAACCCTGCCCACATCTGTGAGAGGAGACCCTTCATTAAGGTCTCTTCTGTCTTGGAGTGTGTCACTGGTTTCACTGCAGGGGCGCAGACTGAAACTGAAGCAGGTGTTAGTAACTGTCTTACCTACAGATGAGGAAACTGAGCCTCCATGAAGTGAGGTGACTCACCCACAGTCACACAGCTAATATATGGCAGAGCCCACAGCACAACCCAGATGTACAGAGGCCAAATTCAGTGCCAGCATAAAACAGGTTTTGTTTTAATGCACTTGCTTGACGCTGTTAAATTATTGAGCAGTGATTTTTATAAGAGGATTCCTTTTAATTCCCTTTCCTTAACCTGCACAAAACAGGGCCTGCTGAAATGCCTAGCGCTTCAACAAGGTGAGCTCTTGTAGGCCAGGGGCCAAATGACGGACATCATGTGCCACCAACACCACACAGATGAAGGTGGTGGGCCAGGGCAGAGTTCTGGTTCTCCTGCACCCTAAGATGAAAGCTAAAGTCAGAAAGGAGGGAGGAAGACAATGACGACATTTAAAACCTAAAAACAGTGGCCATTTCCAACTCAGTATTTCACATGCATTCACTTTGTCTCCACCGATGGAGCAGAAAATCTCTTAGAACTGAAACTTGATTTTCAAATATATTTCGCCTCTCCTGTGTACTTAGTCCCATGCTCTGTTAAACAAGGTATATGACCGCTGGTTAAGGTATGTTCCCATTTTCTTCTTTTGAATGATTGTTTAAAATTCTAACAAATTTGTCCAAGAAAATCAAAACTGAACAAAGACAACTGGCCAGGAAGAAAATGAAATGCTACTTCTCTTCAGCTAGGATTTCTTAGCCACAGGTTGGAGCAGGGATGCTCATGGTGGCTGTTATTATTTTCAGAGGTTTAAATTACTGAGCTGTACTTTGTGACCCACCATTCTGAAAACAAGTCCTGTAGCACAAAGGGTACTCAGACCACCAGGGCCGAGAACGCCCGAGGGTCAAGTTCGGTCCTGCCACAGGCTTGCACGTAGGGGTCCAAACCGCCAGCTAGGGACTGTCTGCAAAGACAACACCGAGCCAATCATTTATTCAACAAATATCACTGCACATGTGCCATGTGTCACCGCTGTTTTTAGACAGCACTAGGGCAATCACCAAACATCAGTTCTTTATAAATAGCAAATCATGAATTTAGCAATACATTCAATGACCAGTACCTCAAAACCATTGATTAACCAAAAATTGTTTTCATTGGACTACCTACAACACTTACAGCAAATTGTTGTGTCCAGTGTATTTTTCGACATGACAATTTTTGTGTACTTTAAATTTTAAGTCTTTTTTCATAAGGGTAGTGCAGGGTAAACGCGCCCAAGTCTTCCGCGCATTTCCAGGGCAGCATGTCATTCCTCGTTTTAATGAATGATTTGCTGTCTTTTGCGGGAGAGGAAGCGGTAGAATTAGGCGGACTTTGCAGGAACGTTCTCACGTGTGTGTCTGCACACGCCTACCCACAAGTCCACCCACACACACCCACAAGTCCACCCACACACACTCAGCTCCCACATATGCAGGCATGTGACAGTTTGTCAGTCTACCAAATGAAAGATTCATTTTCATGTTTACGTCCGCAAATCCTGCACAATTAAACACGCATATGGGGAAGGCCAATCCATTTGTATATAAAATGTTGACCACCTGAGAAATACTTAGGTATCTTAACTGTAAAGCACATTTTGGGTTCACCTTGTAAGGCTGAATCTGGATTCTTTCTGCAAATAACAACCAAATTGAAGTGACTCAGCTGCAATTATTTATGATGATACATGATTCATACGGTGCTAGTAGAAATTGTCATGAATACACAGCACATTTGTATGCTGCCACCTTGAAAAGTATTCAGGCATCTATAACATAAAGCACATTTTTTGTTACCCTATGTTGCAAACTATATGGAAAATTAATTGTATCTCT